TTTTTTAACTATGAGAACACACAGGCCCGGAGAGCCACTGCTACTAAAGCAACTCCATTGGGCTGCACTAAGATGAACAGAGCGCTTTTTAATGATAAAGCAGGGAGTTCCTTTCCATTTGCAACTTTAGCCTGAATGCGGGGTTTCTCTGGCTGTTCTTTTGACCTAGCAGTAGAGTGGAGCACTGCCAAGTCCAAAAAAACTAGTGCAGGAGGTACCTCGTGGAGCAGCTGTGTGTTTATTTCTGTTTTTTTAAAGTGAATGGCCACCAGGCACATCTGAGTATTTGTTAAGTTTCATGCAGGCCTTTTCGTTACTTTGAATGGGAATGGAAGATAGTTTTTGGTTATACGATGTCTCAAAAACAGAAAAACCATGTTCCCTCTTTCCTTATGAAGAGGTTTGGGAAATTCATCAAAAAACTAAGTGAAGTATTTCTGTTGGTTGGTTCTCTTTTTCATTTTATGAAAACAGAAAAGAATAAGAAGTGAGCAGCCTCCTGAAAGCATCTGCAGCTACTCCCTCTGCTCCTCTCTCGCCGAGCGTTACCTGTGCCAGGCCGCGGCGTGTTACAGCACCAGGCCATCACTGACAGAAACGTTTACTTAACGAATGTTCTTAAACCAGTGTGTACTTCAAGCGTTTCCTTTCGTTTCTCTGTGTTGTGTATTTCCTGTGTATGTGATTTTGCTTAGGCAGGTATAACTTAGCAAAGACTTTTAAGTATTGCACCTTTTTTTTGGTTTTGACCTCTTTCCCCCCGGCCCTCTTGTAATTTTGCTTTTTTTATTTCGATATTTAAAGACTCTTTTTTTTTTTTTTTTTTTTTTTTTTTTTTTTTTTTTTTTTTTTTTTTTTTAAGCATCAATGTAGTAGTACTCTGGGCTGAACAGGGGGCAGCGTTTAATCCATAGTTATCACCAACATGTATGTACTTATGTTGGAATCAAAATGTATCAAACCGCTTATTGTGAAGAGAATTACAGCAGACCTGAAGGGGGGGTACAAAGCAGATGGGGTGGGGGGATGTATGCCGGCGACGTGCTAGCCCTTGTGTCGACATCCCAGTCTGCATTATACTGTTTAACATAAAGTGCCGACATTTTGTACCAGCAAATACCTGCCCATTCCAATCCTTGGTGGGAGCAGACCTCTACTGTCCTCTGTAACTTGCTGCTATTGAGGACAAGGGAGTTTTTCTTTCTTTAGCATCTTCAGTGAAGGATACAACAATGTGTAATGTATTTGACTTAGCTTGTGTCTGTGTGTAGATGGGTGAGTGGGTGTGTATAGGAAAAGCCTAAAACAAGTTATTTGCATTTCAGTGGTTTTGTGAGACAAAGAATGGGAAATTCTGTAGCCCTTCTGGGTTACCCTGTTGATTATAAACCTAGCCTCAAAAGAGATTGACAGGCATGACTCAAGTGAGCGTTCACGTGTACAAGCCTGCATGAGCCCTCTGTGGGTAGGTGGTCACACTTGGCGTCTGCAGCGTTGACTCGGCCCCACTGGGTGCCTTGAGCATGCCCTCTTCCTGCTTTCCAATTTGAATCACCACCGTGCCCCTTCCACCACTGTTCCCCATACAAAAGATCTTCCAGCAGCCCCCACTGACTGCTCTCTGTGTGGAGCAAAGTGCTGTCATGCGGTGACCACCAGGTGAAGAGCAGCTTGTTTTCAGACATCTAGAGAAGGCTAAATCGTAGTGTCCCTGGGCCGGGAGCATGTCCCCAGGCTCCCGCGAGCCAGTGGTGACCCTGTCCACTGCCGCTCTTGGTTCACTGCTGTGTCCTGCCCTGCCCACCTCTCCTCCTGCCTGTTGGTTCCTTGACCTGCACTATGGGTTAGTTGAGTTCCTTACGATACTACGGTGAAAGCCGGGTGCTAGAGCCCCTCTTGTTTACAAGACATAATGAGGGATTTGAAATATGTAAAAATAAACATGAGAAGCTAAAATGTTCTTCCATCATAAGCTTAAAGGGAAAAAAACTAAAAACTTTTAAAAAAAAAAGACCAAAAAGTGCGTATATATATATATCTATATATATACATATAAATATATATTTTAGATGAAGACTAACTCTGGGAGCATTTAACAGTGTTTTTTGTTTCTGTTTTTAACATTTATTTTCCTGCTTTAAAATTTGCAAGCATTCTCAGGAATTCTAGGGTAGGAAGCCAGTTTTTTGAAGATGGTTTGTTTAACCGTATCTTATCCTAGATAGATGGCTGTTTCTTTCCTGTTAATAAACTTTTACAAGTTCCTGAAACTTCAAAAAGTTTAAACAATTTTTACTTAAAAAATGTAAAAAGAAAAGTCTCCAAACATTATTGTCATACTGGGGAATCACACATTTTAAAACACATAGAAATATTTTTTAAAAATTATCAATTTAGCAGCAACAGGTAAATTCATTATCTTAAAAATATGGGAGAAGGATTAAGCTTTGTAAGAGCTCAATCATGGATTCATTTGGAGTTGTGTGTAGTTTAATTGGAGAGCGTTTGGTGTACACAGATGAGAATGCCATCACTTTGTTCCTTTCCATTTAAGACTGAACTGAAATCCCCACTAGTAATTTTTATTTTTTTAAAGGACCCCTTCTCCCTGTCCCCACAACCCCAGGAACAAAAGAATGAAAGGAAGGAAGGAAGAAACAACAGCTTAAAAAAATAAGTAACTCTAATCTGTAAAATAGTACAGTTGGATTGCTGAGAATCTATGTAAAGAGTTAGGAAATATAGGTTAATAATTTTTGGAACAAATTTTAAATATAGGCATTACTAGAGGAAAATTATCTATGGACTGTTCTATTAATGAAGAATGTCTGTCTTACCTCCGTTTGTTATGGGAGGAGGAGAACATATACAAGAATCTAATAAGGAACAAGTGATTTTACTTTTTTAGCTCCCAGCTACTGTTGTGCTCGTTTTAATTGCTGTTTTGAAGATCTGCTGCTTAATTATCCCCATTCCTTAGCCGGAGGTGTGGAGTATTTCCTTTCAGTTTTTGGTGATGTTGAATTCTTTTGTATTCCCTCCTGGGGCCAGGGGTCAGAATTCCCAAGCGTGACCACAGCTTCTTTTAAACATTAAGCTTCCCAGTGGGAAAGAAACTCCAGCTCGACAGGTAAAGGGAGTGGGTGGGGTTGCTGCCTGCAATTTCTCTAAAACCGCTTTAGTGCCTTTGTACATACACCCAGACATCCTGCGCAGGGGGAGGCGCATGCATGTGTGCGTGCGGTCCAGTCACTCCACAAATGTAAGATACTTGCCCGGAGAGGAAATTGGAGTGGTTCTGGACAGGCCCCAAAGGCAGTGGGCTAAATTTAAAATAAACAAACAAATGTCAAGTAAGCTAAATAGGCTTTTATGTCTCAATAATGTAGAATGCCAAGTTCCTTCCTTGTGTCGTGCGCCCTCCATTACTGTGCATTGACTTCTCCGGGTGTGTAATTGTGACAACCGCAGTGATTTGGAAAGTCTCTTCATGTTGGGCCAATAGAAAGGGGTTCCTATTGTTCTGCTCTTGTCCTTTGTCTCCTCCCCCTTTCCCCCAGACCTCCCCCTTCTTTTTGTCAGCTTGCTGGGAGCTTTGCTTTATTGGTTGGCAGTGACCTAAGAACAGGATATAGTGAGGATATCATGGGAGAGAGAGCTCTTTCCATGGTATTCTTTGGCAAGAGCCATGTCTACTAAGAGGTTAGGTGACTTCAGTACACTTAGAAAATTCAGTGAGAGTGCCTTCTCTTCCACCACACTCTGGCATAGATACAGGCTTGCTGGTCACCTCTCATTATGTAGATTTATTTTTAAAACATTTTGATTTTGTTAATTTGAGCTTTCCTTTTTTTTTTTTTTTTTTTAGTTTTTTTTTTTTTAAAACACTTGATGACTAGTGGCTAGAGATGTGTACAACTCTTGAACATCACAGACTTCGTTTCAACCTACCACATGAGCAACCAAAGGAAAAGAAGCACTAATAGTGAAAGGGGTGTCTCACAGCAGATAGAGGACCCCTACTGTCAGTTAGATCCAGTGCTGTGACCTAACTTTAGGGGTTGAAAAAAGTTCAGCTCTCTGAGACACTGTGAAGAAATGGATGGCTCATGGAACATCTCTGGTCCCTCAGTCCCCACCCTTGGACATGTTTCATTTACAACATTCACAGGAGTTAACTAAGCAATGTTGCAAATTAAGGTTCCAAACCAAATTATTTAATCAGTGTCCCCGCAATAAATCATTATCTATCTATTGTCAGTTAGTTTTATTTATAGCAATTTGATTTTCTAGTAGTATGGCTCCTGTTCTAAGAATTTTCCCACCTCTTCTGACATGAATGTAACATAAGTTCGCAATCGGTTCTTCCAAACTTCTGTGGGTTGAATATGGCATATAAGATACACAAGAGGAAAAAGAAAGGAGAAGATAAAACCCCTGCCTGAGCATTTGGAAGCACCTTTATTAATGCATATATCTCTCAGAAACTGAAAGTTCATGGGCTGTTAACTTTTTGCAAATATTCACTCATTTTTACTACTTATTTTGGAGGGGGGTGTGATTTTTGTAGGGTAAACAGCCAGATTCCA